GGCTGTGTAGGCAGTCTGTATTATGTGCCATGTTGCCTTCCCCCATCCCATCTCATCTGTGGCTATGTCCACCAAAATACCCTCTTCTCATGATCTCACCCACCATGACTGGGCAAAGCCCTCAGAACTCCCCTTCCTCCACAAGCTACTCTTTAGTATAAAAGAGCTCCAGTGTGTTCCCTTGGTCTGGAACCACATCTGTCCAGCCCACCACCTGGAAGCGGTACTGCTGCCCCCACCTGTAAGTTTCCCTTTGAAATTAACTCATGCCTCCTAGACAGTTTTTTGTTCTCTTGGTAGCCACTCATTCAGAGGGGTTTTCCCTGTTGGGCTTAAATCCAAACAGTTAACAATTATATGCCAGAACAAAGCCTTATATTCTTTAAAGGAATACAACTCTAAACCCAGCAATCAATAATATAAAACTCACTATGTCCAATATTCCATAAAACCACCAGGCTTTCAAATAAACAAAGCTATGACCCTTAACTAGAAGAAAATTCAGCTAATAGAACCATTCAGTAATGATAGTAATGATGGAAGTAGCAGCAAGGATTTGAAAGCAGCTTTTATAAATACTGGCACTGTAGGCAGATCAAAATGTCAATTTGAGCCACAAGGTAGACAGTTCAAAGTCACCAACCACTCCTCAGAAACCCTATACAGGGTCACTATGAGTCAAAACCACCTCAATGGCACTTAACAACAATTATAAATAATACTAATATAGTCAAGGATGCCAAAGAAAACCAACTAAATTAAGAGTAATAGAATACCACTTCCTGCCAGGCTGTGGGCACCAGAGCGGCTCTTCAGTGTTTGTGCCCGCAGCTGCTGCTCCCCCTTTTCCTGACCCCCCCACCTCCCATGCCACTCTGCCTCTTCTCTCCTTCTGTCCCTTCCTCGTCGTCATCGCTGCCCAGGACTGCAGGCTGGGGACAAGCTCAGGGCAGCAGCCAGAGGTTTCTTAACCACATAAGCTCTCAGAACCGAACCAAAACATCGTCCCCACAGCATCCTCCTTAAGAAAGCAAGTCTCCTACTGTAGAACTCAATGCAGTGTGCACAAAACTTGGGGGGGGGGGGGGCGGAACAATGTACAAGCCTGTTGTCCCTTACTCTCAGATTCAGACTGCATATAACTACAACAAAAGAGGAGGTGCCTATTCCTTGAGGTACATTTACCCATTTCCAGTCCCACCTTCACTGTATCAAGTTGCACGTTCTGTGGAATGACAGCAGTTTAATGGAAAAGGAAGGATGAGATCAGCTGAGGAACACAATGCTGCTGCTAAGCAGTGAGGGTCCTGCTGAATGAACCCCTTCCGGAGAGGCTGGGAGTGAAGAGAAAAAGATCAAAAAGAAGAATAAATCTGAAATAAGTCAAGCCTTTGAGATTGCACTTAAACGGAACTTGCCTGTGAATTTTGAGGTTGCCCGGGAGAGTGGGCCATCCACATGAAGAGTTTGGGGACCAGGGTGTCAGTCGGAGAGTTCATAGGGGAAGGGAAAGGGGAAAGTAAGATTTCAAAGAACACTGCCCTATCTGTTCTTGTGGCGCTGAAGAAATTAACTCCTCTCCCTACAGCTGAGCAAGTGAAGCCCAGAATCAAAACAGAAAACCAAATTCATAGTTAAACTACACACAGGCCCAGAATATAGGCAAAGAATACTCCAGTGAATAGACCGGCCCCGGTGCAGCAAGTAAAGAAGGAGAGAGAGTCCGCCGTGCCACAGAGAGTTCGTGATGCAGGTAAAGGTCGGAAACCACACTGTTGAAGGAGCAGGCACCAGTGAGAAGGTGGCCAAACACAACACAGCTGAGACTTTGCTGGAGCTCCGCGGTTTCAAAGTCCCACAGGCTTAACCCACCAAACCAGCACTCGAGTCCGAAGAGAAGACACCAAAGGGATGGAAGAAGAGGATCTTCATGTGAACCTGGCTGCTGCGATGACAGTGGAACTAGTAATAAGGAAGGATGAATTTAGGATGTCCTGTCTTAGTCCTGGTGTGGTGCTGTGGGATAAGCACTCAACCATAAGGTCGATTTGAACCACAAGGTCAGAGGTTTAAAGCCACCAGCTGCTCCTCAGAAACCCTATACAGGGTCACTATGAGTCTGAATCAGCTTGGCGGCACTTACAACAACAACAATCTTAGTCACCAGCAGCTGCCTGTTGGAATTCTTCCCATGGTGCCTGAGGTTACCCAGGGAATGGTTGTCAGTCATGGTCACCACACCAAAGATCTCAGCAGAGCTGCTGTGAACCTGTGGTGACTGTCATAATAGCCCAGGAATTGTTATGTGGTAGCACCTTGCCCACAGCCGAGACCATTGTAAAAAATAGCATCTCTTCAGACCACGTACCCCACAACTCTTATGAGATCCTCTGAGCAATTGCAGTATCTCTTCAGAGTCCAGGGATTCCAGGTTGAATACAAAGACTTCCCAAAAATCAAGAATGAGTTTGTATCTCTAAATAATTGCTCCTCTTAGTCACAGCATTGGAAAGGATGTGGAAACCTGCCATGATGTTATCATGGCTGCACTGAACCTACTGAACTTGCTGTCTGGGTTGGACCAACAAAGTACAGAGATGCCAGGAACAAGAAATGAACCTTGGTCCAGGTGTGGGAGATGCTGAACCTTTACTGGCCACAAACCATCATTAAATCCCAACATATATACTGAAAATACTGAAACTGCTTTGAAAAAATTGGAATTTCTGATACCTCCAGTGGACTGAGAGACATGACAGACTAGGCCCAATGGCAGTAAGGAAGACGGGGCACTGGAGGTGGCTGGGACCGTGATGGAGCCAGAGGAGAGACCGTGTTTGCTCCCCCAAGAGCTGCCAAGCCCAGGGCCACCTGCCCCCTGCCTGTCTCCCCTTCTCTTCTGGGGAGCTACAAGGCAGTGCCCACTACACCTCAGTGCTTGGTTTGGTTTCATTTTTTTAAGCAATGCGAAAGAAGAAAGCACGACCCCCTCCTAAAAATGGCTGACTCAGACGCTTTGGGATAAACACCAGACAACCACTCCTGATACTGGCCTCAAAGCTGCAAGCACCAGAGAATATCAAATTCTTCCTACTTATCATCATCACCTGACCTGCCCAGGGGGCTGAGGCCATGCTTCCAGTGCCCACACCATAACCACCATTCTTCTTCCAACAGCAAGATGCAGTCTTAATTTCATTAATTTTTCTTTCAAGTTTTTATTATAAATTGAGTGAAAGTTTACAGGGCAGATCATCAGTTTTACATTCAACAAATCATACACTTTGTTTCATTACAACAATTATAATCCCCTCCATGTACCATCAGATAACAGTATTTCACTTTAGTCCTTTTTTTTAAAAAAACACTCAGGCATAGATAATAATTTACACCACCAAAGGGCACCTTCTCCAAGTCTGCCTCCTGGCTTCCAGCTCTCAGTCTCTCTCTTTCTATGAATCTAGAGCCCTCAGCTGCCCCCTCTCTCTATGTCCCCATCTCTGCCTCCATCTCTGGTGTCGCTGCTTCTCTGAATGAGATCTCGTATTCCGCTTATGTTCTTCTCTCTTGATGGTCCTAGGGTCCTTTGTTTCTGGACTGTAAGATTAACTACTCTCCCGTTTTTGTTGCAAAAATTCAACCTTTACAATTGTGACAGTCGCAATTAGTCAAGGAAGCAATTACTCACTATTGAATCATAAGAATCTTATCCCCACTCTTTTAACCAGACCCATCTAGAAAAGATGAAAACTATTCAATGGGGATTCTTTCTTCCCCCACACACTCTTAAACTAAACTCCCTCTTAAAACCTTGTAAGCCAGTAACTTTGTGCCTTTATCGCCTCCTCACTTTCGGTAGCTAGTGTCTAAGTTCGTTTCATTATTTTTATGCGAAAGTTTCTCAATAGTATCTAGTTATATATACAGTTGAAAAACTTGTCTGAAACTGATTTTCTCAGTAATCTAACTAGCTAAGACCATATCCGTGTGTAGGTGACTCACTTTTTATCTTATTGAACTCACTGAGCCAGGACTGCTTCGGTGACGTGAATGTGTGCCCTCTGGTTTAGCTGAAGCAGTCCAGGACTTTTCAGAAACCCCTGATGGATCTTCTACCATTGTATAAATGGGATAATTTTTTGGCTGTTCAAAAACTTTATAAATGATCATTTGGTGCCTTTGCTATCTGATTTTTATTTGGGTTAATGTAATGACTTACATGAACTTTGATCTTTGTTGCAAAGATTATAAAAACGATTGTGTGCACCAGGACACAGTCTGCAGGTAGTACACAGAACCTGTAGGTGGATTTTCCATGAGTGGTTTATACTATTAATCACATCTCCATGTCAGGCTGTAAAGAATGACCTTTGTATATATGTAAAACTGCTACTTTTGGTGTTGCTTTGCGAGTTCAGTATTGCTTTGATTCATTGTTTATGCTGGAAATTTTTCCTCCCCAT